TGATTTTTACAGAATTTGCTCTGTAAACTCTCACCCAAATCACAATAAAAATTTTAAAAAAGCTTTCACGCAGCCATCTAAGATGCAGCTATTGGTCTTCTCTCACCTGAAGCAAAGAGGAGTGAAGAAAATCAAAGGCATCTGGAAACAATTAGTCCAAGAATATGAAGGACCACGAGGACCTCAGCCTTCATGACCCTGAGATCAGAAGAACTAGATGGTGCCTGGCTACCAATACCAACCACTCAAAAAGGGATCAAAACTGGAGATCCTGGATAGAGTGGGAGGAAAAATGTGGAACAAAATTCAAAAACACAAAAATGACCAGAATTACTCGTTGGATAGAGTCTAATGGAACCCCCAAGACTGTGGCCTCAGGTTACCCTTCAGGCCTACAATTGGATTCACTCCCATGGATTGGCCCTCAGCCAATAGAAAGACCTACATGCGAACACCTACCCCAGGGCGATGCACTCACCTACTCTAGGCAGATACACCCCTTAGAGCAATCGGCCATGGGACATCAGAGGGGCAGTATTCATATAGAGGGAAAGTTGGACAGACAGGAGTGCATAGATAAGAAGGGCACAGGGAGGGTGTTGTCACAGGGACAGGAAGGGAGGAGAGTTTGTTATGGTCAGGGATGGTAATCGGGGCGAGAAATCAAGTGTAGGCGAACTGTTGAATGTAAAACAAATTTTGCTCTGTAAATTTGGACCCAAAGCACAATAAAATTTAAAAAGGAAAAGCAAATGAATGAGCATGCTTGTATTCCAATAAAACTTTATCAAAACAAAACAAAACAAAACAAAAAAGAAGTGAGGATGGCAAGACTTCAACTTTTTACTTTGGTCAAATCATCAAGAAAGACTAATTGCTAGAAAGGTATCATGTTTGGTAAAGTAGAGGGCCCACAAAAATGAGGGAGGGACACCTCCTACTTACCCATGATCAGGAAGATGGTATAGGACTAGACAGCATTTTGTTTTATACATTAAAGTCACCAAGAGGCGGAGCCAACTCAGTAACTAACAACAGTCCTGGTCCATAGACAATCCTATCTTCAGGGGTAATGGAGAGGTCTTCTAGTGTAAGATGCTGGTCAAATTGGAGGGTGGAGGTGGGGAAAGGTAAGGTGGAAGAGAGAGGGAGGGTGCATGTGCCAGAAGGTAACGCTCTGAGAGGTGGTCCTTCATCTTTGAAGCTCGGAGTCATAGGGAAGAGACCCAACCTGTCTTGCCTGCTTTATCTCCTGCCACATCAGCACCTCCTTCCACCCTCTACTTCCTGCCCACACAACCACCAAGCTACTGCTCCTAGTCCACAAGCTCTCTCAACCTCTGCTCCTTTGCCCATGGTGCTCCAGGGCTGCCAAGTAAAGCTGGCTAAGTGGGGCACAGCATTCACATCATAGGCACCATAGATGTATATCAACAGTGTCTGGCTGATGGCAGTCAAATTTGCACAAAGGTGCCATATGGGCTGGCAGAGACCCTGCTGCTTGTTCTGCCAGGAATATCACCCCCACCCCATTCTCCACCAAGCACGCTCCTGCTCCATCCTCAAGACCCCCTTCAGACGTCCCCTCCTGCAGGAAGATTTCCACCCATCCCTCCCACCAGGTTTCCTAAATGGATCAATGGTTAATAACATCCATCAGTATCAACTACTGATATGGGAGACGATATTACCTGATATGGGTTTCTAAAGGGCAGGACACACACAATTTGTAATAGGAGAGGTGATTCCAGATGGAATCTGGATAGGATTAAACAGCACTGAATCAGATGTGAGAAAATAATATTCTTGCCAATTTTCTTTGATTGAATCAAGGAGAAAACTGTTTGGTACAAGGGTGTCTTTCACACTTAACCTCAAACACTTGCCAATGACCTATTTTGTCAAAAAGCAAGCAGGTCACAGGATTAGCACCTTCCATAGGTAGTGACATCTGCTGGGCATTAGATAACTGGCCTGCTTTAAGTTGTATTTATTTTAGTGATTGCTATCTATCTATGGCATATGATGCTGATTTTCCATGTCATATAACATTCTAAAGGTTCATTTGCAAATCAATTCATTCAAGCATAAACAGTGAGTTGATTTAAATAGAATGATTAAGTAAATAACAGAACAGATGGTATACAGAGAAATAAACCATGAGGCTGATGCTTGAAGAGCTAGAGTTTAAAACACAGACTTGTTTAAGGGTACAGGCTCTGAAGGAGACACCTACCTGGGGACTAGCTATCTGACCTTGGGCCAGTCACTTTCCCTCTCTGTTTCTCAATTTCCTCCCTTGTTAGATGGGAATAATTATGATACCCAGGTCCCTGTGTGGCACTCACATTTGCTCTCTGCCACTAACCCAAAGATTGGCTGTTCAAATCTATCCAGCAGAAGAAAGGCCTGGCAATCTGCTTCCATAACATTATAGCCAAGAATACCCTGTGAAGCACATTTCTATACTAAACCACTGGGTCACCAAGAGTCAGAATTGACTCAACAATAACTTTTTTTTAAATTGTTATTTGGGTGAAAGTTCACAGAGCAAATTCATTTCCCCTTCAATAGTTCATACACATTTTGTTTCATGACATTGATTGCAATCGTCATAATGTAACTGCTCTCTTCCCACTTCCTCCCTGTGGCTACCTTTTCCCCATGTCCTTTCCTATGCATTCCTGCCCCCTGAGCTATCTCCCTGTGCAAATGCTGCCCTTCTGATCTCCCATAGTTGATTGTTCTAGGGAGTGTATCTACCTGATGTAAATATTCACCTTAATATGCTTGTCTCTTGTTTGGCTGGAAGCCACAGGAGTAAGTTCAATTTCAGGCCTGAAGGGTGACTAAGGGCCATAGTCTTGGGGGTTTCAACAGGCTCTAACAGACCAGTTAGCCTGGTGTTTTTATGATTTTGAGTTTTGTTCCACATTTTTCTCTCACTCTGCCCAGGATCTCCTATCTAGAACCCTTTCTAAGTGGTCGACAGTGACTCTAGGCACCATCTAATTCTTCTTCTGTAGGCTGAGGTTTGCATGCAATTAGTCCTTTGGACTAATTGTTTCTCATTCTTCGTTGCTCTGGACAAGGAGAGATCAATTGTTGCATCTTAGATGGTCACTTGCAAGCTTTTAAGATCCCAGTCACTACTCACCAAAGTAGGATGTAAGACAGTGTTTTTGACAATGGATTCTTTTTAATGCCTACTTCCTGTTGTTGTTGTTGTTGTCAGGTGTCATTAAGTCAATTTTGACTCACAGCAACCCCACAGGACAGAGTAGGGTTTTCTTGGCTGTAATCTTTATGGAAGCAGACCACCAGGTCTTTATCTCTCAAAGCCACTGGTGAATTCAAACTGCCAGCCTTTCCACTGGAAGCCAATCACTTAACAATTGCACCACCCAGGGTTGCTACCTACTTCCTAGAAAAGGAGGTATTCATAGAAGGAAATGCTGAGATAATGTGTGCGGTGAACTTCACAATGATTGCTACTTTTTTTTAATTGTTGTAATTAGTATTATGGCTGAGAAAGTCATATCAGCAACAATGAGGGACCTCAAGGCACACATTTGTTCACACACCCAGGAGACATTTTGACCTTAGAACTTTTATTTGCATGGGAATGACAGGGAAATAGAGCCTGAGGAAGCGATGGGGCATGAGAGCCAGGTGGAGCAGGGACTCACTTGGGGAGCTCAGCAGCCAGGACAGGGAAGCAGCCCTCTCGGTGCCACTGCCTGTCACGCAGGCGGCGCACGGCCTGCATCTGCGGCTGGAAGGCCCCCCACTCATTCCAGTGCCGGAAGTCGCCAGGCTCCAGGAGGTACTGGTACCCACGGTAGCCAGGATACTGATAGCCGACCCAGCTGGGGGAAAGCATGAAGAACAGTGTGGAGACTCTGCCAGCCACCCTGACCTGCACCCAGACCTCACCCTGCCCAGCCTAGCTCTCCAGCTCTCCCTGTGGTCTACTCTTAATCTTTCCCCTCCAGGGTTCAGGCCTGGGTCACAGAGTGCTCCTTCTCCCTGGCTTTGCTCCTTCACCCAGGTTCCTTCTGGCTGTATGTTCCCGCAGTGGTGTTGGTAGAGAATACTGCATAAACCGTGGCCTGCCAGGAGAACTTGGAAATCTTAGAAGATATACAACCAGAATGTTCCTTACTAGCGAAGATGGCAAGACTCCAACTTGCGTCGTTTGCGTAAATCATCAGGAAAGACCAATTGCTGGAAACGACATCATGTTTGGGAAAGTTGAGCGTCAACAAAAATGAGGGAAACCCCAAACATTGTGAGGATGGCACAGCACCAGACTGTGTTCTGCTCTGTTACACATTAAAGTCGCCACAAGCGGAAGCCAACTCGGTGGCAGCAAACAGCAGCCCAGGCCCACAGACGATCCTGGGCAGTGAGTTCGTTTCTCTGACAGGCCTCCATTTCCACTTCTGGAAAGTGGGGATTCTCGTGGTAGTTGGTTTTGTAGGGTATTGTGAGAGCCAAATGGGGAAATGTGCCTAAAGAGCTTGTTCAGCGTGTTGCCTGCGCATGATAGGGAGGTTAACACTCATGCACTACAAGTGAAGAGTAGGGGGTCGGGGAAAAAGCCAGTTGAAGGCAGTGAGGATAGAGCCTGGGGACTGCTTAGCAATGAGGCAGATGAGGCAGGAGCGCTGTTTCAAAAACAGGGTTCCTTTGTGTGTAAGTGGATTTGTATTGGGAGCACATGTTGCGCTGTTGGACACACTGGGGTTCAAATTCTGGCACTGCCATTTACTAGCTGTGGGGATCTGAGCAGATGGCCTTCTCAGAACCTCAGTTTACTGACTGTAAAATGGGATGAGGGTGCAGCTACTTCACTGTCGTCATGGGGAATAGTCAACAAGTATTAATTCACAATGGTTAGCACAGTGCTTGGCACATACTAAGTACTCCAAACCCATTGTCATTGACTTGATTCCAACTCCTAACAGCCCTATAGGACAGCGACCCTGTCGGACAGAGTAGAACTTGCCCCATAGGGATCCAAGGCTTTAACCTTTATGGAAGCAGACTGCCTCTTCTGTCTCCCACAGAGCAATTGGTGGGTTTGAACCACTGACCTTTCAGTGAGCAGCTGAGTGCTTAAGCACTGACCACCAGGGCTCCTTATAGTAAACACTTAGTATGTGTTAATCGTTAGAATGATTGATTTCTAACCTTTATGGTTGCCTCTACTGGCAGGGCCTTTCCCAGGCTTCTCCCCAGAACCCTACCCATCTTTTCTAGGCTGATTTTAGTTCCATCCTCTTAGATTAAACCTTCTCTGATCTGCCCCACTGCCCCCACCCCAACAAACACCCCAAAGTCCCAGGAGCCTTCCTTTCTTCACTGGCCCACAAATCCCCCGTTGGAACCATCTCTTGCCTAGTATTCTTGGTCACCAACTCACAGATGTACTTGGGCCTCCCCTGCTAGGCCAGGTCAGAAAGATCTCACATGGACAGATGGAGGCCTTATAACTGGCAGGGAAAGACCAGGGGTTGTTGGCATGGTTACTTGGAGGCAGGGAGACCTCCTTTGGGCATTCAACCCTTTCCTGTGCTCTCATGGACTCAGGGTCATGGGGCTCTGTTTCAGAAGCTTCAAATCCTGGGAGCTCAAAGCAGAAAAGGTCTTCTAAATTCAGGGGGAATGGCCTGCCCATTGTACAGGTGACAACACTGAGGCACACAGAGGAGATGGGGCTCAGCCAGGTTCCACAGGTCATCCATCAGAGGCAGGGTGACAACCCTGCCTCTGGATTTCTCTGAATATCCTCTTTCCCTAGACACACGCAGAATCAAATGTTCACATCAGCCCTGGCACCTTGCTTACCTATCCCTCAATCCCAGCCTGAGTCTATTCTCCCCATCTCCCAGCTTTTCAGAACCAATGAGCAGCTGTGTTTACACTGACATTAATTAATGTGTAATTAACATGACTCCTGCCCAGAGGAACTGCACTCTGGCCCCAGCCTGGGGACATCTGGCAGGTCTCAGCCTTTCCTAACCCTCTGGTGGGACAACCCATGAGGGCACAGCCTCCAGCCTGTCTGTGCTTGAAGCTGGGGGGTGAGGGCACAGTGGGAGGAATGCTTACGTCCCACTGGACACCCGCACACTGCCCACGCGGTCGCAGAAGCCATAGACCCACAGGCTGGGCACATCGTCCTCCTGGATCTCCATGGTGTTGCCCTTGAAGTTGGCACCTTCAAACAGACAGATCTTGTGCTCCTGGGAGTCCTGAGGAGTGAGAGGGAGGGTCAGGCATGCCGAGTATAAACAGGGGAGAGAAGAACTTTGTGGGTCTCTTGGGTGTTGGGCAGACATAGGAAGTGATAGAGAGCTAAGTGTGGTCAGACCACCATCTTTATTCCCTGGAATCTCATCTTTCTGGCCTGGAGGGCACCCCTCATCTGTGAAAAGAGGGACAGCAATCTCTACGTCAAAGAGGCCTGGTGGCACAATGGTTAAGCACTTGGCTGCTAACCGAAAGGTCAGCAGTTCAAATTGACTAGAAGCATCACGGAAGAAAATACAGCGATCTGATCCCATAAAGATGACAGCCTGGGACACCCTGTGGTTCTATTTTGCCATACAGCATCACTGTGAGTCAGAAAAAGGAGTTCTGGTGGTGCAGTGGTTAACTGCTCAACTGCTAACTAGAAGGCCAGTAGTTTGAACCCACTAGCTGCTCTGCAGGGAAAAGATGTGGCCGTCTGCTTCCATAAAGATTACAGCCCCGGAAGCCCTATGGGGCAGTTCCACTCTGTCCTGCAGGGTTGCTATAAGTCGGAATCAACTTGACAGCAACAGGTTATGAGTTGGAATTGGCGTGACGGCACCTAACAAAAGCAACAATCTCTACTTCATTTTGACATCATGAGAGTTAAATAAGTTAATCCCTCTAGAGCTCTTAGTGCTTTGCCCGGCATACACCAAGTGCTCCAAAAACGTTATTATGGTCAGGGACAGAGAGGTTCAGAGAGGTCAAGGTCTTTGGCCAGTATCACACAACAGAGAAGTATTTCCATGCATCATCGATCAATTGTATGTTTTATATGTATTGGATGAAAGTGAGGAACTGATCCTGGGGGCACCATGAGGCACTGGTGGAACCCAGACCTGAGTGTAATTCCCGCCTCCAACTGCACTGGTGATCTTGGGCATTTCACCCCACCCCTCTGAGCCTCAGTTTGTTCATCTGTTCGATGGGTTGTGCTTGCCTCATGGGGTTGTAAACAATGACTAGGCCGGAGGTCACTCCCCTTCCCTGTCTACCATTCCCTCCTTGTACCCAGCCCACGTGTCCTCACTCACTGTAAGATCCTATACTTGCCCCTGGCCTGCCCCACTGCTCTCCCCAACCCTGGTCCAGGAGCTACTCACCATCTTGATTGGCCGGAAGGACATGAGCCGGTCGCTGCGGTAGCTGCTTGACCACGTGTCCCAGCGTGGGTACTCACCCTTCTCCAGGACGAACATCTCTCCCCGGAAGTTAGACTGCTCAAAGGCGACCCAACTGGATGTGAGAGGGACCGTGGGCATGGGGAAGGCCAGGAGGGGCCGAGGCAGAGAGGAGAGAAATCATTAGCTGAGCTGTTCTCCTTGCTTTCCCACCTCCCCCTTGCAAGGCAGCCCCAAGGCCAGTGGAAAGGTCCAAAGGGAGCCTGACACCAACCAGTGGGTTTGAATCTGGGCTCTGCCACTTACTGGCTGTGTGACCATGGGCATGTGGCTTCACCTCTCTGATCCTCGGTTCCCTCATCTACACTAATATGCGTATTTTTTCTGAGTTGGCAAAGGATTGAATGAGATACTATGTGTGATTATCTAAACAAAGAGGCATTGGTAGTACAATGATAAAATTCTTGCCTTTCATGAGGGAGACCTGGGTTCGAATCCCGGCCAGTGCACCTCGTGCACAGCTCCCACCTGCCTCACAGTGGAGGCTTGTGTGTTGCAATGATGCCAAACAGGTGTCAGCAGAGCTTCCAGACTAAGACAGACTAGGAAGAAAGGGCTGGTGATCTGCTGCTGAAAATTAAGACAGTGGAAACCCTTTGGATCACAATGGCCTCATCTGAAACCAGTCAGGAGCATGACACAGGACTGGGCAGTGTTTCATTCTGTTGTGCACGGGGTCACCTCAAGTCAGGGTCGCTATGAATCAAGCCCAACTTGGGAGCAAACAACAACATCTGAGCTAAGTGTTTCCCCAAACGTAGGACCGTAATTTTAAGTACTACAAGGATTTGGTGTCAAACAACACACAAGGAGAAAGTCATATTCTTCTAAGCTTGATGACAGCTAGGAGAGGCTCAGAGAAACGAGGGAAGGCCTCAGTAAGGTAGATTGACAGAGAAGCCACAACAACGGATTTAAACTTATCAGAGATCGATCAGGAAGATGGCTCGGGCCCAGGGAACCGTTTGTTCTGTGATATGTGGGCTTGCCTTCAGTGAGACCGGACTTGATGTCAGCTGACAGCAGTACAGCCGGGAGGAGGTCTCTATTTGATGCTAATGAACCTTTTGTTGTACTGGGCTTTCAAGTCCATTGGGATTCATAGCGTCCTGGCCAAGATCCTCACAACTGCACCAATAAGCAGCATCACGATAAGTGGAGAAAAGAAGTTGTCCAAAATTTCACATTACTTGGATCCACAATCAACACCAATGGAAGCAGCAGCCAAGAAATCAGACATCGTATTGCACTGGGCAAATCTGCTGCAAAAGACCACTTAAAAGTGTTAAGGAGCAAAGATGTCTCTTTGAAGACTGAAGTGGGCCTGACCCAAGTCATGGTATTTTCGATCACCTCATATGCATGTGAGAGCTGGACAATGAATAAGGAAGACCAAAGAAGAGTTGATGCCTTTGAATTATGGTGTTGGTAAAGAATACTGAAAATACTATGGACTGTGAGAAGAACCAATAAACCTATCCTGGACGAAGTGCAGCCAGAATGCTCCTTGGAAGCGAGAATGGCCAGACTTCGTCTCACCTCCTTTGGTCATGTTGTCAGAAGGGAGCATTCCCTGGAGAGACCATTCCCTGGTAAAGTGGAGGGTCAGCGAAAAAGGGAAGGCCCTCAACAAGATGGACTGACCCAGTGGCTGCGATGATGGGCTCAGGTGTAGCAAGGATCGTGAGGCTGACTCAGGACAGGGCAGTGTTTCGTTCTCTTGTACACAGTGTCACTATGAGTCGGAGCCAACTTGACAGCACCTAAACAGCAACAGCAGTTTTCACAGGAGCAGATAGCCAGGTCTTTTCTCCTGCAGAGCAGCTGATCGTTCAGACTTCTGAGCTCTCTTGTCATATCTTTCTGTCACAAAGGCAGGCCAAGCTCAGGCTACAAGCACCAGCCAGCAGCTGTACAGTCACAGTACTTTGTGTTCACTGTATTAATTTTTATGGATACCTTTTACTTGTTGTTGTTGTTGTTAGCTACCATCGAGTCAGCTCCAACTCTTAGCGACCCTATGTACAACAGAATGGAACACTGCCCAGTCCTGCGCCAGCCTCACAATCCCTGCTATACCTGAGCCCATTGTTGCAGCCACTGTGTCAATGCATCTCATTGAGGGCCTTCGCCTTTTCTGCCGACCCTCTCCTTTACCCAGCATGACATCCTTCTCCAGGGAATGGTCTCTTCTGACAACATGACGAAAATAGCACGGTGAAGTCTGGCCATTCTCGCTTCTAAAGAACATTCTGGCTGTACTTCCTCCAAGACAGATTGGTCGTTCTTCTAGCGGTCCATTGTATTGTCAGTATTCTTTGCCAGCACCACTTTACTTGGAGCCAGTGATTGCAACTTTCCATTTATAAAAGTGATAAAAAAATGTCTTTTAAAATATATTTACTTGTGTAAAAGAGTGTCCATTTAAATGAAACATACGGAATAAATAACACCCCTGGAGGTGCAGGGAGCTTGCATGGCACAGTGGGTAGAGGCATTTGGCCACTAACCAGAAGGTCAGTGGTTCAAACCCACTGTCATCTGCTCCATGGGAAGAAGATGAGGCAGTTTACTTCTGTAGAGATTTACAGCCTTGGAAACCCAATGGGGGTCTCTATGAGTTGGAATCAACTTGACGGCAGTAGGGGTTTATCCCTGGAGGTGCTGGGATGAGGAAAAATCAAGGCAAAGGCTTGAGTCACATGTTGCGTAAAGACAAGGCTGTCACTCCCCGAAACTACTGCCCTGAGGTAATCTTTAAACTTTAAGGCTTTAACCCAAACTAGCCCCTAAAGTCTGCTTTGAACCAAAAAATAAACCAAAACCGAACTCACTGCTGTCGAGTCAGATCCAAGTCATAGAACCCCTCCTTGGGTTTCTGAGGTAGATCACCCAATCGTCCTTCCAAGGAGTGGCTGGTGGGCTTGAACCGCCAGCCTTCTGATTAGCAGTCAGATGCCTTAGGCCCTATGCTACCAGAGCTCCTGAACCAAAAAACAGTTCATCATAATTAGTAAAGCCCACATGCTTTGAGCATTTTGCTCTTTTATCTCATGCACTCACTGCCATTGAGTCAATTCTGACTCATAGTGACCCCCACTGGGTTTCCAAGGCTGTAAATCTTTACAGAAGCAGACTGCCTCATCTTTCTTCCATGGAACAGCTAGGGGGATCGAACCACTGACCTTTTGGTTAGCAACCAAATGCTTTAACTGCTATACCACTAGAGTTCCTTGCTCTTTTATCTAGATAAGATCAAATTGGCAATGGCAACTCGAAAGGTTGGATGGAAGGCTTAGGGAGGGGCCAGTGAGTTTAAGGAAATGGTGGCGGAACAATCTGGAAAAGAATGGAGAGAGAGAATGGTAGGTCAACATGAAGAGTGTCCTAAATTACGCAGGGAGAAATTGTCGAAGTGGTGTATCTTTGGTTGTGCATACTTTCAGTAAAAAACAAAAACAAAAATGGTCAAGGTAGGTCACGGAAGACAACCCACACTCAGTAATTGCTATGGAAACAGTGGAAGGGGGATGACAATGACACCTACCTCTCAGATACCTGTGAGCATTAACTGTGATACGGCATATAACAGGGTTTGTTACATGGACAAGGAGAATCAGAAGTTTGAAGTCAAATGGAGGCCTTCCCAGTACAATCTGGTTAAGGCTGGGAAGTGATCTTATGTAACAGAGACCAGGGCTACTGGGGGAGAGAGGAGGATCCCCAGATGAGAAGGCTGAGAGTAGGGGGACTCCTTGACCCTTGCTCAAGGTGTGTCCGGGAGTTCTCAGGAAACAGAGGCGCTGCTGTCATCTCCCTGGGAGCTGCGGGGACCCAGAGGGAGCTGAGGGTGACGGGCTACCACCATGGATTGAAACAGAACGTGTCCCAGGAACCTCAGGCTCTTGTTGAGGGATGAGCCAACCCACACTAGAGTGACAGAATTGAAAATGTAGACTTGTCCACACAGAATAGAGTTGGATCTGCCTCAGCCCTCCTGGGGTTGGGATGCAAGAGCAAAGGGTGTACGTATGGACTGATGGATTGATGGGTCAGTTGATGATTAATGAGTGGATTGGTGGTTGAAAAGGTGGGTGGGTGAATGGGTGTACACAGGTCATAGACGGGTGGACATCTTATTGATGGCTAGATGATGGAAGAATAATAGAGAGTTGGGTTGATGGATGAGTAAATGGAAGGATGGCTGGATTGTGGATGGTTGGGTGGGTAGATAGATGGACACACACACATAGATATATACACATACACATGTATATTCAAATATACACATATATAACATATACATAACACATACACACATGTATATAACACATATACATAACATGTACATATACTTGTATGCACACAAACCCTAAACCCACTGCAATGGAGTTGATTCTGACTCATGGCAACCCCATGTTTGGATATATAAATGGGTCAGTGGAGGGATGGTTGGGTGGCTGGGTGGAAAAGGAGCCTTGGAAGATGGACTCTGGGAATAGCCCCAAGTCCAAATTCCCGCTCCATTTCCTCGCTGTGTGACTTTGGCAAACCATCTAAGCTCACTCAGCCTCGGTGAGGGGAGAAAGGCATTGCAATCGTTTTGTCAGGAGGTGATGAGAGCTTCAAAGAGGGAAAGCATGAAGCAGGTCCCGCACAGGGCAAGCGTGGCAGGAACATTTATGATGAAATAGAAGGGAAGCTGGAGGTCTGAGCCTATGGAAAGACAGACACTGATCCCACCTCCATCCTGCCCACTTCAGGACTCAGAATGCCCAGTGAGGACCCACTATAAGAGTGGGGACTTAAGGAGCCCTGGTGGCGCAGTAGTTAAGTGCTTGGCTGTGAAACCAAAAGGTTGGTGTTTGCAACCCACCCAGCAGCTCTGCAGAAGAAAGACCTGGCAATCTCCTTCCACAAAGATCACAGCCTAGAAAACTCCATGGGGCAGTTCTTCTCTGTCACATGGGGTCGCTGTGACTCAAAATCGACTCCACGGCACCTAACATCACAACATAGCTCATTTGGGCCTTACGGGCAATGGGAGAGGTGGGGGAAAAATCTGAACTGACAGATGTGGCGTGGTGGTTAAAGTGCTTGGCAGCTAACTGAAAGGTTGGTGGTTCGAACCTACCAGCTGCTCTGCAGATGTGGGAACTGAGGCTTAAGGGGATTAAGTTACTAGTCTAAGGTCACATAATGGTGCCAAGTGTCAGATTCATTTCAGGCAGGGAGCTCTGGTGGCACAGTGCCTGCTAACCAGAAGGCTGGCAGTTCAAACCCACCAGCCACTCCTCTGAAGGCTGACTGGGCAATCTACTTCCATAGAGATACCACCTGGGAAACCCAAGGAGAGGTCACTATGGGTGGGAACCCACTCTGCCACTGAGCTTTTAAGTTCCAGGCGGACATGCCTCCTAGCCCCGCCCCTCTGCTCAGTGCCGAGCACACTCCCCGCCCCTCACTCATCTCATCCTCCTTGTATTTCCCAACGCTGCCTTTCCCACAGCCCAGCCTGGCCCTCACAAGGACCCGGGCACAGCCCCAGAGCACACACCAGCTGCATCTTGGTT